ATGCCTCTTCACGGCATAAAACATGCAACTTTGACCCGAGAGAGGGTGGCATGGTATGGTCGCCACTCTGTGGGCTGCGCATGGTGGAACGGCAATTCGCTGGGCTGCGCCGCGCGGCGCGTCCGGTTGGGCGTCGCCGGGGGCCGGAATTTGCGTGGTTCCGGTGCTTTTAGTGCTGCAGCTGCCGCTGGTGACCGGATCCGCTTTTGGGAGGGAGTTGCGCTCCGACGGGTCGTCGTCGGACCGTCGGAAGCGGGCTTGGTTGCGACGGCGCCTCGGCCGCGGGTCGTGTGTCGACGTGCTCGCGGCGCGGGCTGCAGCTCTCGCGATTTGCGCCGATTTTGCGGCCCGCGCACCGTCGCGCGAGCGGTTTTAGCGCCTGTTGACCTGCAACTTTGCGGCAACTTAAACTCGAGGGCGCTGTTTTAGGAGAGCCTCGGCGCGTCCGTCGTCGTCGCCCGTCGGTTTTCGGATACGCGTCTTCGAGTGCATTGATCGGATATATACTCGGTGTTGTCTTCAACGTTGCAGTACAAATAACGCTACAGGCTGTCCACAATGAGCTCGTCGAACGCCCGTTCCACGACGCGCCTTTCCACCCGCGCCGGTTCTTCTTCCTCGGCGTCGTCGGCCTCGGCGGCGGCGGCGCCGCCCCTAGCCCGGACGGTGTCGATTCCTAAACAAAGAGGGGAAAAGTACTTCACAGTACTCAAAGCCAAGAAGCCTGAGGGCGCCCCCCGCCACTGCCTCTTCATCGTCCTCACGCGCTACGACCAGCTCGAGCCCTTCGTCTTGGGCTTTTCTACGTCGCGCTTCGACGGCACGGGCTTCTTCGCGTACAAGGGCCACAAGTACATCGCGGACGCGGAGACGTACGCGTGCGACGCCGCCGCCGCGCTCTACGAGGGGGCGACGCCGGCGGATGCCAAGGCGGCCCTGGGGGCCCTAGGGCCGCGCCGGTACATCCGCATCGACGACTTTGCCTCCATGCTCAGCCGCGGCGAGAACGGCGCGCTCGCCGCGGTCAAGGCCGCCGTCGCGCTGCGCAACGCCGTCGACGTCACCGCCGACGACGAGCCCGAGCCCGGGCCCGAGGGGGACGCCGGCTCGCAGACGGAGGACGCCGACGTCGAGGACGAGCCGCCGGCGTCGCCCCCGGCGTCGGCGAGCCCGCGCCGCGCGCGCGCGGCGGCGGCGGTGGCGACGGTGACGCCCGAGAGCGCGCGCGGCACGAAGGCGCCGCGGCTGAGCGCGGCGTCGCCGGACGCGCCCCGGCCGCCGTCGCTGGCGCCGCCGCCGCTCGTGAACGGCGGCGGCGCGCCGGTGGGCGGCGGCGTCGTGCCGGGGCCCGCGGCGCCCGCGCTGGGGCAGTTCGCGCTCGCGCCGGGGCCGTACTCGCCCTTCTGCCCGCCGTCGTCGATGCCGCCGTACGCGCCCCTCTACCAGCCGCCGACGACGCTGCAGCCCGCCATGGACACCGAGGCCGTCGAGGCCATGGTGCGCCGCCTGATCGCGGAGGGCCGGACGCGCGATCTCGACCGCGACCGCGCCGACGCCGCGGTCAACGGCGGCCTGCGCGCGCAGCGCGGCGGCTTCGAGCGCAAGCGCTGCCGGTACGGCGCGGGCTGCTACCGCCGCGACTGCCGCTTCGCGCACTGACGGCGCTGGGGCCGCAAGGTCCCGGCGCCGGAAGAAAGTCGCGTAAAGAAACGGACGCGGCGCGCGCCTCAAGACGGCGCGCGTCGTTATGGCGGGAGCCGCGGCGGCTGGCGGCGGCGGCGCGTGGGCGGCGCGGCGGCGCGGGCGGTCGGCGGCGGCGGCGGCGGCGGGCGAGGGCCCGCGTCGGGGCGGCGCCGGGCTGGCCCGGCGGCGGCGCGGCGCGGGGCCGGGCGAGCCCTTGGCGCTTACTCCCCCGGCGATACTTGCTCAAGGTCGGCGGCAACTTCACTGCACAACCCCGCATTTGGTAAACGTCGGCCGGCGCCGTGTGCGGCACAGCATGGTCCCTACCGCTCTGAGGGCTGCACCGGTCACTGCTGGCGGCGGCGCGCGGGCGGCGCGACGGCCCGGGCCGGCGGCGACT